GCTCAGTGCTCCTTGTTCAGAAGAGACTGGTCAGCAGACTGTTCCAAGTGCTGCCCTCTTTTTCCTTGGCATACTACATGGAAGGATTTGAGGTGCTCAAAAGCATCTCTGGTGATGTTTGCATACTTAGATGACAAGTGGTTCATGCTATGGTTGCAGCCACCATGGCCAGCAGCCATATATGCTTTTTTTGATAATATCACAGATATCCTCAACACTCACATAGTATGTGGGAGATTCCTCTTTTGTCTGTCTCCTCTTAATCAGCTTCTCAGTGTCTCCACATCGGGGAAGTTCATATCTGAAAAGAGGGTAACAGCAAGAAGATTATTAGCAATAATGCTGCATATCTGAGTGGGAAAAGCAGCCATGTATATACTCAGAGTTAAAAAAACAGAAACAGAAGGAGTAGGTTCTACATACTTACTTTATAAGCAGACAGTACTCATGTCTTGACTTTGACTTGGAATTCGGGTTTGTATTCTTTATTTCAGCAATAGTTGCACAATACTCTGCCTTTGGGATCATGTACTTGGAGCATTTCTCATACTTTTTGTATCGTTCTTCTCTAAATTTAAGTCCTGAGGCATCTTCAGCAATGATTACTTAGCAAGTAGAGAAATCTGATTCAACTTCTTCCTTTTATGAACAACTACTCTTGCACCAATTTCTGACGTATGCTGCAGTCATATTATGAAACCAGTCATTTTGTAAAATGAGTAAAATCTTCAGCCATTTCTCAAAATTACTTGCAGTTAATTTGCAAAATGACAGAAAATAGTAGGAAGGTATTATGCAAAATATCTAATCTCTAGCTTTTTGAACTTACAATTTTATGAGACCATAGCCAGAATGGCCTGTATTTACCATTTTTTACTTCATTCTATTTCCCAAACTGTTCAAAACCACACAGTATATTGCAGAGAAAACGATCTATTATGTTTTCTAAAACAAAGACTCTTGTGAGGTCAACTCTACTTTGTAAAATTTGCAGGTGTTTTTAATTTTTTGTTCCATTGGAATGATATTCGAAACACCTGACCTTCCCCACTAGAACAATAGTGACCATAGTTCACATTTTGTGAAATGTTAGAAACCATTAGGCATTTCAAGTGATGACCAAGTAAAGAATGCAGTCCAGTAATAAAATGGCCATTATTTTCTGAATTGCCTAAAAGCAGTCATTTTAGGTGGCTGAAACTATATTTTAATGAAAGAACTGCAAATTTCCAATCTTTCTCTTTCTTCTTTTTCAAAATAGCTGCTTTCACAGTATGATCATAATATTTGCAGGTTGTCTTAGGTTTGGGTTTAAACTTTTAAAGGCCAGTCTACTGTAAAGATAGTTTTATTCTTGCAAGCTGAATTTAACTTACAAACTGGTTTTCATTACATGAAACTTCATGATGCTATTTCTAGCGCACAGACACATTTCACGTCTTGTGCAGATTCTAGTTCGGCTGCTCCTTTGGTAGCAGAGGACAGGAACTGCGGTCTGTCTCCATCTATGGAGAGTTTGCACCCATTTGTGTTTCTCTGCATGCAGCCCCCAGACTGCTGAGGTTCTCCTTCCTTCCAAGGGTATGATTCAAGTTTGTCCACCACAAGATTTTCCATCAATGCAGGTATCATCTGTGCTGCCCTTTCTTATTTTCTCCTGTGCTTTTGTGGCACTTGACTAGTGCAGTCTCCATGAGGTCTCACATCTGCTGAGGAAAAGCATTGAGAAGACAAAGTCCTATCTGCAATTCTTACATGTCTCTGTTAGAGATCACTGTGCCACCACTAGTATATGCCTCCCTCCTCAGGCATAGGCAGGTTGTTGTGGTTTTCTATGCTGTAGACCTCTAAAACAGTAGAGAGGCTGTGAGATCTTTTCCATGAGTCTCCTTCCCTTAGTGCAGCTCCTGCCAAGCACTAGTCAGGGTCTTGCTTCCCAGGTACAGATGAAGAATTTGAAGATGCTATTAAATTTCTGTGCTAACAGCTGTCTTGCATCTTTTGTTGGTATTGGGTATGTGGTCCTTCCTGACCATGACCCTGCTATGGATGGGATTGCCTGTGGATTTGCTAGCTAAGCCTCCAATTGGTTTTGTGTCAACTTTCCCAGCTATGGGACTTGCACTGACTCCATTAGTAAGACCTCAGAGTCAGGTGAGACCCAGCCATCTGTGGGTGACACACAATTCATTGAGGGCACAGGTACCAGAGCTAAAGAGCAAAACCAGTTGGGCACTCCCAAACTGGAGGTGTTACTGGGACAGAGGGAAGTGTTACGGGTTGAGAGTGAAAACAGCCAGCCAGTTTGTCTGCTGCTTCACCAGAGGAAAGAGGACTATATAATACAGTTATTCTTCAGGGGATGGATACTGTATATTATCCTTATTGGTATTTCTCTTTTCAACAAAACTCTGGCTTATTAAGTAACTGTTTGCAAGTGGGGAAAATTATGTCACTGACAAACAGAAATGTAAAGTTTGCATAGACAGACCCAAATAAAGCATGAGTTGGTGCTGAATAGTATCACCAACTTAAACCATGGAATTATGACCCCCTAATTCTGCTCATTATCATCCCAAGTTAGCATTAACATCATTAGCATAAATTTTTATTTGGAAAAAAGACCCACTATCAAGTAATTTTTGTGATGCTATGGAGCAGGTTATTGCAAATTAAATTAAACAACTTGTGATTTTAACACATACACAAACAAGATTGGTTAAGCTGTATGATCAGCAGGTACTCTTTGTAAACATATATTTTATTTTTTTTAAAGTCTTGCCAAACTCAGATACAAAATGCTTTTCATTTATATACATATTTGCAGGAAGGACTTGCTTAACTTTTTCAGCACACGGTCACTTTTTTTGTTAACAACTTTATTACGACATAAGAGTTATAATATAGTGTTACAAAGGTATTCAGTGCCTACAGAACACATGTAAGGTATTTTCTTCCACCAACAATGTTGCTATAGAAGATAACAAAAATGTTGTGCCATTTTCCATCTTGTGCCCCAAGAAAAAACTGATTTGTCCGTGTAGTTTTAAAACAAAACTGTATCAGAGCAGTTTATTGCTTTCTTAAAGACACATCATTAACTAGTAGTGAATGACACATTCAAGCTGACTCCTTTCATATTATGAAAGTCTCCGTAGTTCCCCAAGTACCGTCGAATCTGGCTGGTAGTCATTTTCCTCTTTACTGAGAACCTTTGGGGGCAAAAGCCTTCTCAAACAGTTTAGGTTTTTTTCAGATGCACACACACTGCAAGGTCTCACATTTCTATCTTAACAGATGCTGTGGTCCAGGCCATTTGTCAAGGGTGGGCCATGTGAGCACTCCCACATCTCACTTGCGTAATGAACTTTAGTGATTTCCAACTTTTGGTGTTTTATAGCATTACTCAGACTGACTTGAAAATACTTTCTCATAATCAGACCTCCTGAGAGATATAGAGGAGCTTGATGTAAGAAGGAAGACAGGGAAGGAAAACTGTAGAAGAAATGGGATCTTATAAAGTAACCATCTTGGTGGACCAAAAGCGACAAGCATAGCAGTGAGATTGCACAGGTACAGGAAGACCAACCAATCATTTGATTTCTGCTTGATGTGCAAGAGATGTTGAAGGTGAAATACAAAGGAATGAAAAGATTCGGAAGAATGAAAAAGGGGACTTCATCAGCATCACGAGGAGTCATTGTCACTGGAAACTGATCAGCTGATAACCTTTAATTTGTCAAATGATTAAAATAATATCCTTCTGACTCTAGGTGAAAAAGTGTGACCTTATGCAGATGCCAAGAAGAAGAAAGATATATTAGCCATTGCTGTCTTGGGTTATAGCAATCAGAGATTTATACATTTTGGGGGATGAGTGTAAAGCAGCTGAGCTATGAAAGCCTGAATGTCTTTCACAGAATTATTTTGCTGAATTTTCCTTTTTTCCTAGCAGAATTCAGAGACAGCAACTGACAGCCTCACTGAGATATAATAAACTTTTTTTGATACAGCAGGTTATTAGCTTTTTCTATCCCTCCAATCCAATCATTAACCTTTTAATTTCTTCTACCAATAGAGAGCACTAAATTTACAAAATTGATTTCAAGCAGAAGATACTGTGATTAATTATAAACTTCAGAACTGCAGAAAATCAAAGTAAGACAAAAAAATAATTGTTGCCTTGGAGACCTAAAATATTTGACTTTTTAAGAGAAGACAACTGCTGTCTGAATCACCTAAATAAAATGATCCTCACTGTTTAATATTTTTTTAAAATTGAACAATTCTGTAAATAAAAATACAGGATTTTGTTTGAACTTACAATGTTCATTTCAGTAACGATGTGTAATTTTTGTTGTTAAAGACATTTTCATAATGTGGGAAAGAGGACAAAACTCTTTTCTGCTGCAGTGATACCATCTCCAAAAGGTGATTTTGAGAAAATAATTTAAGGAATAACTATTTATTGCTGGTTTGTTTTTAAAGAGTTGGGTTAACTGTTCAATTCACTTATAAAGTTACACTTGTCTTTACAGTGAAGGAATAGACCTACTCAGAAGGAATGATAACTTCGCTGATGTTTTATGAGAGCTTGTGGGGAATAAGTAATGTATGCAGAAAATTATATAGATATTTATGTTTCAAAAATCTGTACCTTATTCCACTTTTCTATTTGTGTTTCTACACTCTGCAAATTCTCTTGAGTCTTCTCCTAGTGCCTTTGACTCCACAGACCTTGATGTAAAACCAAACGGAAAAGCCCATGCTCTGTCCTCCCTCTTCTCCAGCTGCAAGTCACTAGGTAGCACCATGAGGAAATCCCAGAGGTGATGTTCCAGTTTAGCAGCTGAGACACTGGAGGTGGTTCATCCCAATATTTCAGGGAGCAGGTGTGCAGAGTCCCACACAAGTGTGTTGCGCTATTTCCAGGGCTCGCCCTGACTTACTGAGGTGGAGGTTTGCCATGCCAGGTCTACACACACTGCAGGAGGCTGGTGCTAGCAGCAAGACAACCTGCTGCGGAGCATGCCCACCTTTTGCTTGAAGAGGCGGCTTCCGCTCAGCACGAACGACAGCAGATCCAGGCAGCTGAGGGCAGTCAGACTCAAAAACACTTCATTGTAGCTTTCTAACTGGTCAAAATCACTCACATGCTGTATGTAGTAGGACCTAAAGAGGTGATAGGGAAGGAAGCAAATTATGATGACACAGATGAAAATCAAGTTTTTCACCTGGGCCCAGAACTCTTGGTGTGACCAGAAGGAGGTGGAAAGTTTTCTTGCCACTTGTACCAGGATGAAAATCTGCAGGCCCAAGAGGACACAAGTAATGCAGGCAATAGCTACAACTATGGCGTAGTTCAGTGCTTTCACACTATCCTGCTGTAGTTCTTTGTGGAATTTAAAGCATGTTGTATCATTGTATAGACCTGAGCGCCCATACTCAAAGTACAAGACTGGCACCACAAAGACCATGACAAAGACCCACACGGCAATGCTTGCTGCAATAGCATGCAGCTTCCTGTAAAACTCCACCTTGTCCTTCCACTGAAAGAAGATGAGCCACCGGATCACCAGAGTGATCACATAGAATAGGAAGGTCAAGTACATGTGGATGTGCACCATGGCACTCACCATTTTGCAAAATGGCATCTTGAATACCCACTTCTTGTTGACATAGTAGTGCAGGCGGAACGGTATCGTGAAGAGGAGGAGGCTGTGCACAACAACCAGGTTAATGATGGCTGTGGTGGTCGCAGACAGAGCGTTCATCTTGACCAGCACAAACGACATCATGATCGACCCAATCCCACCTCCAGCAAAGGCAACTGAGTAGGTGGTAATCAGTATGGCGCTCATGGTGTTGGTGTGAGTGAAGGCAGAGAAAGTGTCATTGCTGCTCCTGTTCTCTTCAATCATGGTCTTGAAATCTTCTTTGTACATGCTCTAGAAATGAAAGAATATATAAAGACTAAGATAAGGTAGGAATCAGAAGGCCCACCTGAAAAGCCAGCAGAGTTTTCCACCTGGACCTTGCTTAAAGGGATAATCCTGGAATCTCACAGCTGGCACAAGCTGTAACCAGTAGTTTTATTCAAGCATCCTTCAGCCTAGAGAAAAAAGGCTGAGAAGGTCGAGCAGAGAAGCTGCTCTAGTCCTTAAGACATTGTTAGCCATACCATTGAAAACAAGCATGAATTAGTAATATGTGGGAAGAAGAGGTCTTTAGATAAATGATGTGATTGTGGTGGTTTTGATCTCTCTGTGTTATTAGTTCTTCTCTCTTCTGAGCATCTGCTTGCTTTTGCAGTGAAGATCAGATACTGCTTGAACTCTACTACTCATTCATCAGTTTATATCAGCCAGATAATAATCATGTATTGATTTATCAAAGCTACAAATTTTGTTTGATACTGATAGCTCAGTTTTGCACACACTACAGTCAACTCCTCCTTCTCCACAGACAGTTTATCTGAGTAAGGGATTAAACACCATGGATATCCAGGCTCCATGGTGATCCTGCTCAGCTCCTGCCAGACCAAGAATCGTAGGCAGTGCTGTCCTGGTGTTCAGGGCCATTTCACATCTAATATGTGGTAACTGGGTGTTACAAAATAGGCTGTTAGAAAACGTTAGGAATCGACATCCTAGGTTAGTGCAAATCAGCCTGTCTGGCCCAAGATGAGGCTAGATGAAAGTTAATAGCAAGTTTAATAAGTATGTTACAAATTTTTTTAAAAATTACTGTTCCAAAGAGAGATTAAATATCATTATCATAATTCTAAATGTAAATTCTGGTAGGATTTTTAAGTTCTGCAAGATTGTGTGGGATGGGAAGAGTTCAGGTAGGGTGTTATCCTGAAGCATGGCTATGAAAGTATCAAGAGGATGTCCACACTACAGTCACAGAAAAGAAGCAGGGAAAACTGAACAGTGCTAGACTCTGTGCTGTCCCAGGTATACTACAATTTAAAACCGAGTCTGGTATCTCATCTGTTTCATCAGCGAATCCCACAACACAAGAGGAGATTTTGTCCCGAGTGAGTAGTTGCAGTTTTTCTTTGAACTTTGCAATGTTGTTAACTTCACAAAGCAGTTCCTCTATCTCTTTGTATGGGTGGTATTTCGGCTTATTTTCATTTTTAGGTAGCACATACTGCCAGAAGTTGGGAGGGGAAAAAAAGTTCTTTAGCAGTTCTCTCTTTTGTGGAAAAGAGGAAATACCTTGTAATAGTTTTATAAACTGATATTGCTAGTAGTGGGGAATAAATTAATGTGATGCATCTCAGATATTTTTTTGTTGTTCCTTAGCAATATTTCTAAGCATTCACTCCTACAGTAATCAAGATCTCTTTATGCATTAAAAAGTCAGTTATTCTCTAGCTATACCAATGCATCTAAGACTCCACATATTTCATTGCAATCAACATAACTGCCATATCCCAAATGGATGTATCAGTTGTTAGCACTTACTGACCTTTTCTGTTTAAAACTGCATTTCAGAGTTACATGGACAGCTAATTTCAGTACATTAGGAGAAGTGCAATGGGTTGCAATGAAAAAGCTTTTTCTCAAAGGTGCTGCTTATTGGTACACTGCAGCTCTTGCATCAGAAACCATGCAAGTTCCTTCCAGTTTTGTTCTCGTTTCTGGGATGTTGCGCTTCAGCCTCACAACGGTGCAAGCCAGAGGGGATTAGCAATAGCTGCTCATCAGTTTCTCCAAATCCTTAAGCTTTAATTTGAAAAGATATCTCTAAAATGTGGCATTATCACACTGTTTTAATTTAAAATTCGTACTTAAAGTTTTAAAAGTGCAACAGCCATAAAGGCAACCTGCTGGAGATGTGGGTTGGTGTAAGCAGTCCCATCAGCAAGGCAGCGCTTGGAGAGCAAGGACCCCTCGCTGTCACCCTTTGAAGCCTGGCACTGAAATGTGAACTGAAGGTAGTAAGAAACAGATAAGCAGAAGCCAGATAACTGATATTTTCCTCAGACATTCCTATTAAGGGGACAGCGAGGGACCTATTTCTATCTGCAGATAAACAACTGAGACACTAAAATGCAGGTTTCTGCAGATTTTTGCAGTCATAGCTATATCTTTTTGTTGTAAGATGCGGCAGGAAATCTCATTTTCCTTAATCATTAAAAAAAAGCTACCAAGATGATCAGCTCCTCAATACTATAGACATTCCACTGAAATATCGTGTCATGAATACAGAGTATAGCATGACACACGGCATGTTTCACAGAGGAAACGCTGCTTTCTGGTGAAATGAGGTTTCCTACTGTACTGACATTTGCATAGCTATAGCCTACTGACCTGAAATACAACTAACAAGTCCTTTGGCCAAACTTCGACAGGAGGCACATGGAATGAGAATGAATGCAGGTCTTACAAGAAACTAATTAATTATATGGCATAAGGCTATATACTGAACCTCACTGGAAACATGAGCTATAGAAGTCTCCAAGAGCTGGATAATATCTCACAGCAAAGGAGGAACAGCAGAGGAGACCACTGACCGTGGTATCAAGCTGTCTAAGAAATGGTCTTCCCCCACACAGCTTAGCCCTCTGCCAATGTCAGCTGGTGTAAGCTCTTGCCAGCTTTACCAGCACTGCTTCAGTACTGAATCTAGCTTGCTTATCAGCTTTTTAAACTATCTTATAATTACCTTGCATTTTACAGAGTGGCCTTATCCTGGTCACAGAGTTACATTTCAGTCTTACCCCTTCTTGCCTCCTCCACACACACCCCCTGGCCCCAAACAATGTCTGAAGCACTCAGGATCTCCTTCAGGACGGTACTTTGCAGCTTTGCCTTACCCAGGTGGCTTCCCTTCATGCACACTAATGTTAGCTCTTGACAACTGTAAGAGCAGAAGGAGCATGGAGAGGACTTACCTCATTGCACATCCAAAAGCAGAGAGTTTCTCCTCAAGGAGGTCTTCTTGTTTCTGTGCCTTCCTACCCCCTCTAGCTACTGCCAGTTCAGTGATATAGCTCAAGTTTTGGAGCAAGGTTTGGTCTTCCTCTGACTTAAGCCTCTCATTGCTTGGCTGAACCTCTGCCGGGCATGTGCTTTGAACAGCCATGACACCTGCTGGTGCCAACGGAACAACTGCCATAATAGCTGTGTTTCAGTTTGACAAAGGAGATAGAGGCCAGATGCTGAGTTCTTTCAGAAATACGATCAGCAAAATTATTCTTGTGCGTTCAAGATTGATCAGTTATCAGGGTGGATAAGGCCATCACATTCATTTCCCCTGACTTTCTGTGCAGCATAGTCCACAGGGCTTCCCTGGACTTCTCTTTTCAGGTCAGAGCGTGTCATTTACAAAAATTATTCAGTCTGTCAAAATTTTCCCTGTAAAATAATGTTTATTCCAACCTTCAGGAACTTTTTTCTTTTTTGTCTTACTGTTAATTATCCTACTGTTAAAAAACAGTAAACAATATTTCTAGACAGAATTTGTACTACCTCAGCTTCCAGGCACAGTATGTGCTCCTGGTTTTGCCTTCAGATTTAGAAACCCTTTGTCAATTTTTAGCTTACCCTATAGATAAGTAGAGAGAAGAGACAGAAAATAACTATTTTCTCTTCATCCCAGTCACACCTGTGGGTTCTCACTGAGCTGCATCCAACAGCACTGTGTTCTTGCTTGGTTCTTAGACAAGTAACTTTGCATTTGGCAGAGCTAAAAATGCATGTTTCTAGTTTGCACCTGATTTAACAATCCAGATTCGCCTGTCACTGGCTTGTTCCCTTCATTGCTTACTATTTTTCCAACCAGGTTAATCCGTCACCATTATGTTACATCAACATTATATCAACTTATTGAAAAAAAAACCAAAATATAATTTGTCAAAAACAATGACATTCTTACAGTCTCTGCCAAACAGTGAGCTCTACTCCCTGAATAACAAATGTTTGCAAAATTTATCCCCCTGTATAAGTCTGCTGAGGAACTGGCAGGCTTCACACAGATTTTCATGTGTTCTGACAGTTGGGTTCTGCAGAAGAAGTGTTTGCAGCCTGCATGCACCCAGCTGAGAAGTTTCCTTTGAATTTGGAGGTGAAAAAGTACAATTCAAATGGAATATTTCTATTTTTGACAGATTTAATAAAATGGAAAAATGAATGATTGTCAGAACTGACATTTCTGCACTGAACTAGACTAGTGTGGAGGCAGTGCAAAATACAAATTTTATTTAATAGAAGTCTGTTTAAAATGTGCATTTGTTTCACAAACATCCTTATTTAGTCTCAGAGATGCTTTCTGTTGAGAGCTTTGTAATTGCTTTTCGATTTGCTCTAATTCCATGCTGTGTTATGGTAATGTAGCCTATGCCACTAGAATAATTGCAGAATTCTCTTCGAAATAAGCACACACACCTGAAGTTTCAAGTATAAACATCTGCTTAAAAGAAAACATCTCAAATTAAAAGATATGAAACATCAAGTGTGTGTTTACATTTAGATATTGATTTTTTTTTCAAACAAATATTAGTGATTCCTCTAACTCATTTGCTAACTCATTGACTCATGTCTTGCAGGCTATGTCATCATTAGACTGATACTTCTTAGTTTAAATCCAGACTAGTGAAGAACAAATGGGATGAAAAAAACATGTTGAGTTAGCCCACTCTTGTTTGAGATTTTTGCTGTTTTCGCACAAAACCAGAAACCATGGAATCTTTCTGAAAATAATTATCTACTGTCCTACCTGTATCTTATCAAAGAGAACAAACTGGTCTTTACAGAGATCGGATGATATCACACATACAGACAAAGATGGATTAAAACAAAATGAACTGCCTCGCAATTTTAGGAGGCAGAGTAGACCTGCAGGACAGCAATATGAAAAAGGATGAAGCAATGTTCTCCTATACTAGGAAATTACGAACAACAACAACAAAAATAGTTGTACAGAAAAGCTT